TGAGGGGTTTCACTGAGCCCAGGAAGAAGCTGGTGAAGCTGTAGTCAGTTTCACTATGCACAGTGGACTTTACTAACAAACCTTTTTTTCTGCTTACAGAAATGTGTCGCATACACAGGAAACAATATGAGGAAACAGACGCCTGTCCTGGATAAAAAAGAGAAAGATGTGAGTGACTGTTGAATTAATTGAACTGTACAGGCCCAGGTCCTGCCTGAGATTGCTGCTCTGTATTTAGAGCCAAACTGTCCAATCTCAATTTTCTTTTCTTTTGAAGATAGGAGTCTTTGAGTATCATGAGAGCACCATTGATGAGTGTATAAAATTACTCTGATGACTTTGTCTTATGAGATTTTTCTGGTGTTTTTCTAGCCCTTTGAAGTGGACCTTTCCCATGTTTACTTAGCCTACACTGAAGAAAGCTTGAGGCAATCTCTGATGAAGCTGGAGAGGCCGAGGACTTCAAAAGGAAGATCCAGACCCAAGACAGGGAGAAGGTGAAGAACTCTGGGGTATTTATATGGAATGAGGGATTTACCCAAGGGAAGGCTGAAGTTTGTATATGCAAACTTACCACAAGTCTTCAAACATTTGCTTAATGAGAAGGCAAAGGACAAAATTTTTGCATGGTATAGTTCAGTGTTGCCACGTGTGACAGAACCAAGTCTCTTTACCACACTAAATCTTGTCCAGAAAGACTTGTCTAGGGATTTACTGGTGTTCTTTTGCTGCATTCTCCTCTTCCAGCTCCTTGCTTTATTTTGCTGCATTTGGTGGTCCAGTTCAACCCAATCTGGCACAGTGCAAGTGCAAACACTGGTACCAATGGAGAGGAGAGGGCTGTTGGGGGAGATTTCAGCATAAGCTTTCTTGTGCTTTTTGTGTGGTTGGTTTTGCTTATGGAGAAGTCATGTCATGTCATGTAGTTCTGACTTTAAATGTGGCTGGTCCCTGTCTTTCCTAGACAGCATAATGATGTGTGTGTGGTGTTGTTTTTCCCTTTCCTTTCTGCTCTCCAAACAGAAAACGCTCGGCCAAGCCAGGAGCTGTCATTGACTCCCTGCTGCAGTAGTGTCACCTGGTCAGAATTCCTGTAAAAATCAGTGAGTGTATAAGGTTTGGCCAGAGTATGGAATTCAAGAGATGGCACAGTTTGACATGGCTATAATTTTTTTATTTAAAAAAATGTATTTTTCCTTAGTTGCCTGTATATTGTATGTTATATTAACATAATATTAAACTGGTATGTATGGTTGATGGTTGTGAAATTCCATGTATTAAATGTGTTGTGCAGGGAAACTTGTTGGTAATCCTTGTTGAAATGTATAGAAAATAGGGTTCTAGATGTGTGTTTAAGTGCTAGATGTGTTAGTTCAAAACAGTTAATGAAATTCTGAAATTAAGGCTGGTAAATCTGACTTATGCCCTGCTTTGCACATAACTGGCAGCTTTCACTGTTGTCCTCTGTTGCACTGATCTGTGTTTGAATGTAGTTGCTGCAAACCTTTAAGAGCATCAAATCTTTTTATTTAATATTCCTCACTGTGGCTGTTAATACACTGTGTTATGTGTTGAATACACAGTCCTTTTCCCTTCTTGCTGTCTTGCTGTACAGAGAAAGTAGCTGGGTAGGAAGAACGTGAACCACAAAAGTCTTAAGTCTTGAGATTTCTGAAAAGGGACCATGGGTGTCTAATAGTTCCTTTAATTTTATCAATTTGTTTGTTTGTGATCTGCTGGCACTGTGGAGAATGAGACCTTGGATATTAAGGCAGAAGAGAGCTTTTTTCCTTCTTTTAAGGGGATGTTACTTTGGCAGCTTTCTATGCTTCAGGGCTGGTATTTTTGTGAGTAGTTTTGTAATCTGAACAGCTGAGATGCTTTAAGGAGGATGCTGTAATAACACCAGGACTTGGTGTCAGCCATGGGGCTGTGGCTCTGTTTCCTCATCCCTGGCTACAAGGCACTGGGCCACTGCCCTACAGTGAGGATAAATTTGACTCTCCTTTAGTAAACCAGAAAGAATTGTCCAATTTTCCCAGAACAATATCCCCTGACCTAGCTGGTGCTGTGTTCCTGTGTATACTGTGTGCCTCTCTGGCTGTGCTCTGAGAGGAAAAAAATTTGGTCTCTGATAATAACCATTTATTTGTGATGGCTGCTCTTTTTATTTGATATTTATGCTGCTAATAGATACATATCACTTTAATATGTTGCTTTTGTGTCACAGAGAAAATGCTTCTCCTTCAGACTGCAGGTGTTTTATAACTCCTCTCATCAGCTGTGGGTGTGTCAGCAGCTCCTGTGCAGGGTGGAGGGATGAGCTGTGACCTCATCTTAGTTCCTGGAGGATTAAAAGCTGTGATTGCTCACAGGGGAAGTGCAGTCCTTCAGTGTTACAGAAAACAAGGCAGCTCCTCAGGTGTTTTGAGTCCTTGCTAACAGCCACATCTGCTTTTACCAGAATGTTCCTGTGAAGTACTTAAAGACATCAAATTCCCTTTCTTTCTGTCATGATGGTTATCTGGAGGTACCTTGGGGTCTGTGACAGGATCTGTAACAGTTAAAATTGGTCTTGTAAGGACATTTTGCTCTGAAGGATATATTCAGTGCTATTCTAAACAAGTTGTGAGCTTTTTTCCTGGTGTTTTAATGGTTTTTTTTTCAGGATCATGACCTGGAAGAACATGCTGCCCTCTCTATTGGGGGGAGTGTCACCTGAATTCATACAACATACAGATACAAACACTAGCATTTGTTTTTTTTTAGCCTAGGGGTAAATACTCAGAAACTTTCTTGATTGAAGCTGTAGTTGGTTTTGCTTGTGAAGAGCTGACCTTATCTTAAATGTGCTTGACTAGAGTTGGATTATCTCTCATTACATACATACATACTTCTCATCAAAATATCCAGACTGAAAATGGCTTAAATGCTGCTTAAAGTCTTCCAGTTTGAGTTCAAGCAGATAGATGCATAGCTGTGGCCTGTACTAGTTCTCAGAACCAGGGATAACTTCTGTTTCCTTTTTGTGTTGTATCTTGTGCTAACATTTATTGGATTATCTGGTTTTGCAGGAGTTAACCAGAACTGTGCTTTCAGAAATACCATTAAAAATCCTTTTACCTGACAGGTATCTGTCCCTCCAAGATACTGCTGTGAGCCATGGCACTCCATTTAAAATATTGAAATATTTAAAATACTTCAGATGTAAAGGCATGTGATTTACAATTAACATAACAGTCCTGCTGCTGAAAACCTTGGTACTCTGCATGTTTAAGTGAGCCTTGGAGCAGGGGTAAACAATAAGTAATTTCTTGCACACCTTTAATTGGCAGATTGGAGAAACTGGTTATCTCCTGTTGCAGAGGCTTGGAGGACAAATGATTTGCTGTGTAAGAGGATTTTAAATAAAGTGGAACTCTCTCATGGTCATGTGCCCTGTCAGTTGGGCTCACCTGTTAAGTTCTGGGAAGTTTCTTGTAAAACCAGGGAGTTTGGCTTGTGGATTTACCACATGGGGCCTCTCTATAGGCCTGCCCATCTGTGAATGTCTCATGGGCCCATAGTGTGTTTTAATAAGGAAAGGATTTGATTTATATGGACTTTAAAGAGCTTAATACAGCCTTTCTTACTGCGGGTCAGTATGTGCTCTATGGCATTTATCAAAACTCATCTTGCATAACATACACTGTGTGTGCTCATCTTTGCATTTGCTAACAGAAGAGTCTCCTCATTCCAGAGCATTGACCTTAACAATGAGATTTTTGCTTAATGTTGTGTAAATGAATTATTTAATATTTAACTTGTTCCTAATCCTTTAAGAGGAGGGGAAATGGTCCTTAGTGCCTTTTACTGACTACACTGTCTGCACATGTCCAGCTTTCACCTTTCTCCACAGTTCTGCTTAGCCAGGCCTGCATAGAGGGAAAAACTGCTACTTTGTATAATTTGTCTTTCTGTTTATTGTTTTTTTAACTCTGTTTATTTCTGACTATTTCTTGTTTTATTAAAGCTAATTCATTATACTGTATATATCAATATTGTGTCCCTGGAGCATGTTCATACCATGCAATAAAATTCTTGATTCCTAATTCCACCCTGTGTGCATGTTTTCCAAATAACATCATGCATAGCAATCTTTTTAACTCAGTTGTGTGAGGAGGGTGGGTGAGGTGCCTCTGTAGCTCTGAGCTGTCCAGCATGCTGGAGAAGTGTTTGGGGTGTGTTGGAGCCTTGTTGCCAAGCCTCAGTGAGGTGAGGAGAGACCATCAGCCCTGGCTGCTCCCTTTGCAGCTCCAGCATGTCCTTTGGGGTTCCCAGCTTTCAGGAGCATGCCCCATTTGTGGCCTGGCTTCTCCCCTCTTGGGCTTTTCTTTCTGTTTAGACCTGTGTTCCTCATGTTAGCATGAGCTTAATGCCAGAGCAGGACAAATTGTTTGGCAATTCCTAGTCACACTATGTCAAAGACACATTTCATGAACAATCCTTTCCTTAGGATTTTTTCTCCTGAGAAGCTGAGAGGCCTCAGGAACAAAATGTAACCAATGGTTATCTGCTGCTGTGGAATGCAACAGGTGGGTCTGGGATTGGTCTCATGGGGTTGTTTCTAATTAATGGCCAGTCACAGCTGGCTTGGACTCTCTGGTCAGCCACAAGATTTTGTTATCATTCCATTCTTTTCTTTTCCTTGCAAGCCTTCTGATGAAATCCTTTCTTCTATTCTTTTAGTATAGTTTTAATATAATATATATATCATAAAATAATAAATCAAGCCTTCTGGAACATGGAATCAGATCCTCATCTCTTCCCTCATCCTGGGACCCCTGTGAACATCACCACAACACTACCCTTGCTCCATAAACTTGGAGCTCTCTTAACTGTTGCCTTGTGTAATGTCCTATACAATGCCAGCACATTTAATCCAAAAATACATTTATTTAAAGAATTATTATACATAATCTTTGAAAAATAGGGTCATAGTTTAAAAAGCCAAAGTTTTTTCACTTCTGACTCTTAAACTCTTCTTGGAGGACGTGATGTAATTCCTTGAGGAAATTCTTCAGTGAGGTGGTGCTGCCTGGTGCCACAGGACATGGCTTCTGGAATGGGAAAAGGGCTGTTAAAAAGCTTGCTGGGGTGGGGTTGGGTTCTGCAGCTTGGCTTGGGCTCCTAAGGGTGGTAGGAGAGTAAAACAAAAACAGTGACCAAGGGAGAAGCCTGAGGCCAGTGGCACTGTGGCACTGCTGTGGGCAGTGCAAGGAGAACTGTGCCTCACCTTGTGCCTTGCTCTGCTCTCTGGGCCCAGGCTCAGCAAGTTGTAGTAAATGCCCCCGAGGTTCCTGTGGCATCTCTTGGTCTCCTGAGCAATTGTGGCAGCTTTGCAGAAAATCTCTGTATTGTTACCTCTCTGGGAAAAGACACATGGCTTTTTAAAAACTTTTGTATAGTCATTGCTCTTATTAGCAGCAGATTAAAACACTACAAATAATAAATTTCTATCCTAAAGGATAGGTGAAGATTGTGGTTTGAGGTGCCAAAGCCTCCCTGAAGCTTCTCAGTTCCATCTGTGCACAGCTGGCCCTGGTCCCATCCCTTTCCTGGCGAGGAGGAGTCGAGCCCTGGCAGAAGCTGTGGCACAGAGGGAGCAGCCTGTGCTGGGGCATTGTCCTCCTGCTGCAGTGTGCATGTGGGACCCTGTGGAGCTGGTTTGAGCAGGCAGGGAGCCTGCAGGAATAACAAAAGCACCTGAGAAGAGTTTGCCTTCCTCAGAGGCTTTGAGAAGCCCTATAGCAGAAGCACGTGGAAGATGAGCAGTGCTGGTGGCAATAAAAACTGATTTGACTTTCTTCCCTGGGGGATGTTCCCAGTGCTGCCTGCTCTATCTCAGCTTTCACAGTGTCTTCAAACAAGTGACCAGCCTGTCCCTGTGAGTGTGGGGCTGTGCAGCATCTCAGGCATCTCCTCTCATGAGGTGAGGGCATGGGCTTTCTGTGAAAACAGGAACTCAGGGGCTGGGGAGCGCAGCTTAGGCAGCAGTTTTCAGAGCAGAAAGAGGCCTTATTATCTGCCATTAAATCTTGTGCTAACTGCAGAGGCTTCCCCAGATAAGGGGCTAAAGAGGGATACCCAGCTCTCAGGATGCTGTGCAATAGGTGTGTGTGGGTGTCTGAGCTGGTGACAGCTCTCCAAGGCAAAGGGAGGTGTTCCTCTCTCTGAAAAGCTGAAACCTCTGTCTGCTGCCCAAGCACAGGTGCCCATCCCTGCCCTTCCTCCGGGCTCTCCCTGTCCCCAGGGTGGCCAGAAGCCACCAATGCTGCTTTGGCTGGAGGTGGAGATGGGTGTGGGAAGATGAGGGGCACCTGTGCAGGGCACTGGGAGTGGTGAGAACCAGCTGGGCAGCCCAGCATTTGTGCTCCTGCTCCTGCTCCTCCTCAGCACCAAACCAGGACAGGCAGGATCCCAGGCTCCCCACCTGCCTCCCACCTCCCTGTGCTCTCCTCTGGCCCCCAGCACCCTCCCAGCACCCATCAGGGCTACATGGTTGGGGTTTTGTCTTACCTTATCATCTGCAAAAATATTTATCACATTCATCTTGTCACAGGAAACCTTGATGAAGACACAAAGGAGAGGAGCAGTCAGGCTCCAGACAGCACAGATCCATCCTGACGTGCACACACAGACACACATCCATCCCCCCCAGGCCCAGGAGCGTTGTGACCCCTGTGCTCATCACCTTCCTCTGGCTCAGCATCATTCCCTCCAAGCCTGGTGAAACAATCTGTTCCTCCCATCAGTGGGTAAAGCACCAACCAGCCCTACCTCCTGCTTCTGCTGGACCTTCTCCAGCAGCTTCATGGTCTCCTTCAGTATCCTGGTCCGTAGTGTGTGTGACTGTGGAGCAACCACGTCACCCAGGCAGGCTGACAGCACCAGGAGGGTGAGCAGCACCTGCACCAGGATACTCATGGCCTGCTTGGGCTGGACCCCTTCAGCTCTTAGTCTCTGGATTCTTTGGTGACCTGTAACTGTGTGCGCTTTTCTGGAGGAAGCACCTCAATTTATTACTGTAAAATTGCTGAACCAGAAGGAAAAACTTATTTTTCCCTTATAGGCACTTTCCAAAGTTGCTCCCAATTAGGAGAGCAACAGGTCTTTTTTTGTGCAAGTCAAAATTTTCTTTTGATCTTGCATTATGAAATTTCCACTGTAAGATGAGAGTGGCAGGAGTCAGGTCACATACAAGCCTGGTTTGGGGATTCTCCGTTTCTCCATATCTCGAGGCTTCCTCTACAGGGTGAATTGGAAGTGGTTAAACTGGGTAGCGCGCTGCTCTGACACTCTCCAATAGCAACACTTTTCTTTTTATTTTCCTTTCAGTATCCTGCAAGTTCTTCTATGGTGTTTCATTTGAATATCTCCAGATCACGTAAAGCATCCTTCAGCTGCACTCTGATTTCTGCCCCTGGGTTTCTCAGCCTGGGGAGGAACAGAAAGAACGGCAGAGCTGTGTGGGGACAAACCTGGGCAGAGCAGGGCATCAGCCTGGGGGGTTTGTGGAGAGCTGGGGACCCCCTGACCAAAGAGGGTCCCCAAAGCAGTGTGGCATCCTGCAGGGCTGTGTGCGGGGAGGTGCTGTGGGAATCAGGGTCTTGCTGGGAAACCGAGGGTTTGTGGCCCTGCTCCAGAGTTTCAGGGAGCTGGAGGCTGCCCTGTCCATCCATCCTGCCCTGTCCATCCTGCCCTGCCTGGGGAGCAGCAGCCTGAGCTTTCAGACCATGGGCTCTGCCAGCCCCACCAGCCGCTGCTGCCACAGGAAATTGCACTGAGAAACGCTGAGCTGGGAAACTTTGGAGTTTTGTAATAACTAATAGGGATTTTTCTAACTCAAACAGCAACTTGCCACCAGATAACAACTTGTGAGCACTTCATGAATCTGGGAGTAGCCAGACTGAGAGTAATTTTGTTTGTCTGGTGCTCATCCGAGATGCCCTGGATGAAATTAGGTGAAGTCACTGACACAGAGAGACCTTAGTGAGGGATTTGCCAGTGGAGAGCTGTGCTGTGCTATGGAGAGCAGACAAGGGAGCATGCTCTGGCTGTGTGACTGCACCCATGGCCTCCAGGGATGGTGGCACAGAGCTGTCCCACTGGGCTGGGATGGGGGGTCGTGGTGGTGGTGGTGGTGGTGGTGGTGGTAGGATCCCTGCCTAAAAGTGATGCTGGAGAAGGTGATGGAGGCAGTAGCCCCATCCTGCAGACACAGGGATGCCCCAGTGATCATGGTGGGAAGCTCTAAATCAGTGAAGAGAAAATGCTCAAATCACAGAAAAAGTTAACCTTTGCTCTACTCAGGCTGAATCATGGTGGAAAACTGCATTGCAGTGTGATAAGAAAGTCACCGGTTGTGTTGGGCTTGCATGGCAAGGTTTTGATAGTGGGGAGCTACAGGGCTGGGTTCTGTGGGAAGCTGCTGGGAGGTTTCCCAATGCCTGATGGAGCCAACTCCAGCTGCTCCAAGAGGGACCTGCTGCTGGACAGGGCCCAGCCCATTGGCAACAATGGCAGTGCCCTGGGGAAAATCCCTGCACAGCTGCAGCTGGAAGAGAAAGGAGAGAAAATCAGGAGTGAAGTTAAGCCTGGGAGGAGGGGAGAGGTGGGGCTAAGGTGTTTTAAGATTTAATTTTTATGTCTTATTATCCTATTCTGATTTATTCACAATAAATTGAATAATTAAATCATTAAACTAATTTTCCCCTAAGTTGAATCTATTGTGCCTGTGACAGTAATTGCTGATTGTGTTTTCTTTGTCCTTACTCTGACTCACAAGCCTTTTGTTATGTTTTCTCCCCACTGCCCAGCTGAGGGTGACAGGGATGCTGTGGTGGGACCCTGACATCCCTCCAGGGTCAATAATCCAACACAACAGCAAATGCCAAATTCCCATGTCCTTTCCCAAGGGTGGGATGGAGCTGAGGGCAGTGATGGCTCCATTGCTCTCTGAAGGGGCAGCTGCAGCCCCCGTGGGGTCCCCACGGCTTCTGGAGCCCTGGCTGTGCCTTCATCCCAGCCACCCTCCAGGGATGAACCTGCCCCGTGTCCCCAGCAAAGAAAGGTGCTTGATTCAGAAATGTGTCCTCAGTTTTTCCCTTCTTGGAGCTCCTTGTGCTCTGTGGAGCCTTCCCATCCCACAGGGATCCTGCCCAGGCTCTCCAGCACCAATTTGCCTGTGGCTGCTGAGCCTGGGCTCTGCCAGAGGTCACAGCCACCAGCTCAGGTCTCCCTTCTTTGTCCCAGCCAGAAATATTCCAGAACAGCCACCGAGACAGAGCCTTGAGGGTCTGCCCAGCTGTCACCTCCCGCCTGTGGGGACTGGCAGCTGGTGGCAGCAGGGATCATGGAATCCCAGAATCCCAGAACAGGCTGGAAGGGACCCACAGGGGTCATTGAGCCCAGCTCCTGGCCCTGTACAGCACCATCCCAAGGGTCACACCTTGGGCCTGAGGGAATTGTCCATGTTCTGATCTCATGCATTTCTGCAGCTGCTGGCAGTGCTGGGGTTTATCCAGGGCAAATCCCAAGGCTGCAGCTGAGCCCCTGGTGCAGGCACTTGGAGCATGAATAACAATTTCCAGCAGTTTTGTGGATTTGTTTCCTCCACGTGTGCAGTGGCACCAAGCAGGTTCTGGTCTGTAGGGCAGCCCCATCCCTTCCCTCTCCCATCAGACAAAGCTTCCCCTGCCTGCAGCTCCCCCTGGGCTCCCCCTCAGCCCCCAGACCTCAGCCTGCACCCCAAAACCCCCCTGCACCCTGGCCCCATGCACAAGGCCCTCTTCCCAAACAAAGGCTCCCATCCTTCCTGCTCCAGCCCTTCCTTTCACCAATTTCCTAAGCCACAAGCCAGGTGGGTTCTTCGGTGCCTTTTCCTTTCTCAAGGCTTTGCTCCCAGTGGCAGAGTGGGTAAATTACTGTGCACTGCCCCAAAAATGCCAGCATTCCTGACCAAGGAGACACTCCCAGTGCTCCTCACTAACTGCTGAAGGCAAGAGGGAAATGACAGCACAAACTATGGACACCAAGAGCTCTTAACTCAGTTGTTTATTGCTTAAGCCCAGGGACACTTCAATAAAATCAGTGCATAGTTGTTATTAACAAAATAATAAAATGAAGACATTCAAATACATGGGAACTTGAATATATTAACTCTCATAATACCAATATTTTAAATAGAAGAACAATAAATTATAAATCAGCACATGTTCATTCGTTGTTGTGCAAAGGCAATCAGACTGTAAGAGTTCCCTAAAATGAGGTAGCAGTATTTTAAATATGATTGTATTCTACAGAACTACCATGTAATTTCAAAATAAACCTTGAATACTGACTTTTCCTTTTTATTTTAGGTCCCCAGCAAAGAAAAGCTTTCAATAGCCAGGACTTTTTGTAGGTTGCACACTATAAAAATAAGTTATTTAAATAACATATAAAATAAATAAACAAATTTCAAAGTAAGATGCCAGTGAGCAGCCATTAGATTCAAAGTCATCCTACAGACCCTCCTGTCTTCATTATTAATAACTTAAAAGCCGCCTACAATAGAAGAGACACACTCAAATTGCAGTAACAGGTCCAGCCCCTCTGACCCCTTTCCCCCCCAGCTTTTGCTCTCGGCTTCTGCACTTCCCCAGCTCTGCTCCCAGAAATCGGCCTCCCCCCAGCTGCACCCAGCCACACATCAGAGAAAAATTCACCATTTCAGACGAGATTTTGATCTCTTTAGGAAGAGAAGATGATTGTGAAGAAACGTCCCGTCGCTAAGCGGAACAGGAAGCAGATAACCGGGTTTTGGTTTTGGCAGGTGCTGCGGGAGCAGATGGATGAGTCAAGAGCTCCGCAGCTGCCCCGGGATGCTCAGCCCTGCCCTGCCCGCGGATCCCATCCCGGAGCGGGGCTCAGGGCAGCCTCGTGCAGGTGGCACCTGGCCCTAAGGCTGAGTGAATGGCGCACACGGCACTGCACGGGGAATTTGGGAGATGCCGGGTGCCTGGCACGGGGGACGTTCCAGCCAGGAGGAGCCGGGTGCCCTCCGAGGCTCATCCTGCCCGGGAGAGCCGGCTGGGACCGGGAGGGATGGAGCAGGGCTGGGGGAATGCACGAAACCAGGAGCAAACAGAAACACAAAACAAAACAAAACAAAACAAAACAAAACCTCTGGGCAGAACCCGTGCGAGGGCTGGCAGCACTGGGGTCCCGGGCTCGGGCTGGCAGCGGTGCCGGCCATCATCATCATCATCATCATCATCATCAGTGCGCAGCCCAGCCCCAGCGCCGGAACATCGCCTGCGTGAAGTTCCCCAGCGCGGGCAAGAAGTGGCGCAGGTAGATCTCATTGTCATCGCTCAGGACGCAGCTCTGGGGAAGGAAAAGCTCAATGCATCAGGGCTACAGCAGGGTTTGGCAGCTGGCTCGGTGGGTAGTGGGCTCCCAGCACACACAGATGCTTTGTTTGCCTCCGGTGCCTCATAAATAACTCGGCAAATAACGCAGAGTTGGTGCTGGCCCGGGAGGTCAGGAATTGTCCTTTGCTCAGGACAAACATCTGTCCCCTGTGGCCAGCATGTGACTCACATGGCCCCTGCTCCGGGCTGGCTGGGGACGGTGGGAGCTGTCGTCCCCCCACAGGGGCAGATGAACCCAAGCACTGGCAGGTTTGCCATGCCCAGCTCTGGCCCCCATTTGCAAGAGAGCAAATTCTGATCAGCCCCAAGGCACCCCCAGAGTAGGGCACAGGCAGCGTGGGGCAGAGCTGTGGAGCACAGCACAAGGAGGAGAGGAGCAGCACCCCCTGCTTACCTTCTTGCCATGCAGGAGCTTCAGGTTGCTGATGAGAGGCTTGTAGGTGTCCTTGCACCTGGTGACTTTGGTGAGTGCCACCTCTGCCTGGCACAGCAGCTCCTGCTCTGGCAGCT